GGAAGAAAAGGAAAATTAAGAATACGACTAGAAAGAAGAAAACGGACAAGGAGAAAGGGAAGAAAAAGGCAGCTAAAAAGAAAAAGAATGATAAAGAATGGACGGAATTTTAATATGTACAAAAATATGTTTAAAATGCATTGTATTCGTTACCTTATAAAGTGATAAATAAAGTAATAATTTTTTATATCTTCGTTTTCTTTCTTGGACCACTTCAAAAATAGACTTAGTTATTCCAGGGTCAAATAACGAAAATTTTGCAGAGCAATAGCACTTTAGTTATTACCTAAAGTAATTTAGTAGTGCACGATATTTTATATTTTTGAATTTAAAACAGGTTAAAATGGTTAAATTTTATAATATAGATTCATAAAAATTCAAGTTCCAGAAAAATGCGATAGATGGCGCCACTCCAAAATAAGTCCATATCGCTGACACTGATCTAACGCTAGTCTACTTAAGTAAGGTACCCACAAGGGTGGGGAAGAGCGACTGAGTCTGAGACTGAGTGAAGTGTCTGACTGACTACAGAAAAGATTTATGTTTTAGTGTTTGGGTTGTTAGTGTCCTATAATATACTTGTTTTTTTTTTTGAGATAAAGAAGAAATATACCCCCTTACAAATCGAGGTTTACTGTTTATTTCAAACACTTCGTGAAGAGTCATGGTTTCTCGTTAAACCAGTAGTGGTGAGATAGCTGATAAAAGTAAAGCGCCATCTGTCGGTGATAAACAAAACTTCTTCCATACTATTATGTAGATTTCTTTATTTTATTGCAAAATTTGAGTACTACAAATTCCAATAGATGGCGCCACTCCAAAAATAAATCCATCTCGTCGACACTGATTCAACGCTAGTTTATTTAAGTAGGGTACCCACAAAGGTGGGGAAGGGTTGGGATCTACCGCGCGTTTCGACTACCCAACTAGATTAAAGAGTGACGTTCAAGAATAAAGTCTGACTAACTACAGAGAAGATTTATGTTTTAGTGTTTGGGTTGTTAGAGTGTTAAAGAGTGACATCCAAAAATAAAGTCTGACTGACTACAGAGAAGATTTATATTTTAGTGTTTGGGTTGTTTCTTTTTTCGACGAAGAAGAAATATACCCCCTCTTGCAAATCGAGATTTACTGTTCGTCTCAAATTGTTCATGTAGGGTCATAATTTCTCGTTGAACTAGTAGCGGTGAGATTGAGGGAAAAATGTAAAGCGACATCTATTGCCAGTGAATCAAAGTTCAATCATTTGATTGAAATTGATTAATATTGAAGCTAAATGTTTATTTTTACAATTGTAACTGAATATTTAATGACTCTTAAACTTGTGGAATGAAATGAAGTTGCGTGGTTCTTGTGATACAACTCTGCCGTCTATTGGCAGCCAGAAGAAGTACTTCCGAATTATGATTTTAAGATGTCATGTTTTGTTTGTAGGTAAATAAAAATGCCAATATTTTGAAGAATATTTATTTGTGTTCTTTTTTAATACACATTTCCAGAGTTTTACACTGCAATATTCATGTTAGCAAGAATTGTTAACAAATTTGTGCATGTTATTTACAAGATTACAAAGAAATTTGAACAGAAATCGTAAAAAATTACAGTGTTTTTCAAATCACCACTGTGACTAAGTCCGATTATTATTGGAGATACAGAACCGTCTACGTACTAAAAATACCGGTTAAGTGCTGATTTACTGATTTACATTTACAAGTCAATTACCAATTTGACAGTTTTTTTATATATATTGTATATTATGCCATATTTGAATAGAACGCTTTTTCAGGAGTACCTACAGCGATATAAGTTTTGATGCTAGAACATGCTATAAGTGTTAATGTGCTACAAAGAGACTTCTAGAGTCTCTTTTGAATCTCTCTTTCCATTGCCGTATCTTCCTTACCATAAAGGTAAATTCCTGGAAATTAAAAATAGTATAATATACAGGGCGATCCAATTAAAAAGGTATCATTTTGTGAATATATTATTCAGCAGAATGATTGCTACTTGTGCTTTTATTTATATCTTCAACAATAGCGAAATTAGCAATATTCATATTTGATTGCCTGAAATTTCCTAACACTGTAAATTTTCTTAATTGGTTTCTTCATAGCCCCTCCTCTACTTCCTCCAAAGGCTTTCTGCCGTTACATCCCAAAAGCCAGACATCCAATGTGGTAGCACCATCACGCTGTGGAGAATGACGATTCCTGTAACAAAATAAAAAAAAACATTAGTTATATTTTATGCACTACCTATTCTTATTTCTCAAATTAAATTTTATGTTTTGACATATTTTATAATAAAAATTCAAAGGAAGTGGTTTGAAGGCTTTCATGGCTCGTGCTGATATTTAAAGTACCATGGTTACGTGGTTCCAAAGACTTACATCGCACTTCCTTAATTTTACCTAGAAATATTTAACCTGACATTGTTGTTGTTGGGCTACGCTCTGTGGAGCCGGACCTGCTATCAGAACCCCTAGGTCCTCCCTGATATGTTCATTTCAGTTTCGATTCTTGTTGTTGCTTCTAAGGCCACTACGGACTGAACCACTCTTCTAACTAATGGTGGTCCCCTGAGACGTCCTGTAGTGCCATCTGTACTCGCACCCAATGATTCTAAACGTTTCGTTGTTCTTCACTGTCGCCACCGTCAGTGGTGGCTCTACAAAAGCTTCGATTGAGTTTCTGCACACAACTGAAGATACCGACAATGAAGAACGCCGAAACGTTTGAAAGCATTGTATTTACACCGTCTATAAAGAGCTTAAAACCAGGAATAAGAACGAGAAATGAACATCGGGCGGATCTAGCGTTTCTGATAGCTGTTCCTCCTCTCTAGAGCCTAGTCCGAGAACAACTCAACAAGCACACGTCAAAGATTCCTGGCTAAAGCTAAGGAAGTGCAATGTAAGTCTGTAACTGGCGGTGACAAAAGCCATAGCAACAATCCGAAATACCAATGCTCTTTAAATAAAAGTACGGAACATTTTCAATGGTTATAAACAGTTGGAAAATCACGATTAATTTATTTACAGCAAGATCAAATATCTCTCACACACGATTTGCTAATATGTATGGTGTACCTACCCAGAAAATAATTATTTATCGGTATAACCTGTTTATAAATAGGTAAAGGAATTTCCCTACCACGATGTGGTAGGGAAATGATTACTCTGCGGACTATAGATCTGTTCAACATAGAATTACATCCGCAATATTTAGTAAACAATTAAGATCATCTTCAGCAGAATCACCAGACTATATACTGTAGGTACTGTGAAAGCATGACTAGTGTCGCGCTAAGCAAAATGAAGCTTTGATACCGTGGGGAACAACTATTCTGCACTCTATAGCCCCATTTAGTATTAAATTACACCCGCAATATCTGTTGAATGGCCAAGATCATTCGGCAACAGACTCATCAGATATAGGCCGATTACGACTTTTTCAATGACGAACTGTAGTCTGCAGGGTAGTTGTTTCCCAAAAGTTTAAAACGACATTTCGCCTATTGTGATAATAGTCATAATTTCAAGCTCCTACATACTGGTTGGGTTCTTTCTGTCTGGATACAAAGCAATACTTTGTGTTAGACATTGAGTACCAGTGACAATTAAGATATGGTATACCATGTTCATCCACATGTAGAGGAAGTCTACCTTTTTAATTTTTCTTTGCGATTTCCCGCCATTTTTCAAATTTAGATCAAAACCAACGTACCAAAGTTATCAAAGAGTCCAAATGTTTGTGTTTGGATGATCTTATCTTATTATCTTTCTTATGTTTCAAGAAAATTTTTGTCTAAAAGAATTCTGAAAAAATTGTTCTAGACAAATTCGACCTCTCCCAGTTCATTTTTGAGAACAGTTTTTAATTGAAGTTTTTTTTCAAACCTTTTTTCCTTAAAAAGGCTTATATCGGCAGCGTGGTCAAATTCGAATCCGTCCCACTCAATTTACCCACAGCAGATTTACGAATAAGCATTTTCAAGTCTAGCAACGTTGCTCTGTAATTCCGGGAGTGACGATTGTCGAGAAGGTCGAGATTTGTTTTTATTCCGCGTAGCTATGCACCGAATATCAGCCGTAGATCCTGTGAAATAATACGCCGGCCGCTTATTATTCATTTACGTTTCCCAGGACTGAATCCTCTTAATTTCCATTCCTGAAACAACTAAAAATATGGCGCGGAATAAATTCTCCGTCCACCGCCCCCTCCCGACTGCGCTAACAAGACCAAGGCGAAGCGGAATCAATTAAAAGTCCGGCTAATGAGGTAAAGCCGACATCATAATAAGCGTCTCCTTTTTTTGCGCGCGTAGCCTGGATCTGATTCCATTAAAACGGGTTGTTTTAAAGGCATTAGAGACTCGGTAATGAGCTCATTTGAGGAAATCTTGAGCGTGTGTGGCGTTAACGCCGTAGAAACAGATACATCAAATTGGTGGTGCCTGGTATCCAAAAAAAAAAATACTGTTGCTTCTCTCATTATTATTATTCTTTAATTAAATACACACGTGTCCTTTCCGTTCTCCAATTTCTTTATTTCCCGAAATGCAAAAAGACGTAAGAGTAAAAATTGAGTGCAACACACATTTTTTGTACAAAAGCAATCAACACTCGGATACATTACACATTTTTTAAGCGAAAATAGATTTTTTTGGGGAATAGTCCCCAGAATATTAATCTGACATTATCTTTTTCTTTTAATCAAAAAAATAGTCGACGTATAATTCGTTTTTAACCTAAATTTAAACTCTTGTCTACGCCGTTACTGAGCAGTTCCCGAACACCCGAGTTCCTTACACCTCTCGAAGAATAACCCAAACGATAAGAAGGGGGAACTTCTCTTCATCACCCCGTATATTAAAAAACTGCCCTTTGGTGACTTTTTTACTCACTTATGCGTTATTTTTCTCGCAATGCACCCCTCTCTCTACCATTTTAAGCCTCGATTGGCTGTCCTGCGGTATTAAACCAGTTTTTGCTCTTACAGGAAGAAGTTATCCACAAAATACGGTCGACAATCCAGACGATAAAGTACATTCTGCGATGTAATAGATGACCGCACCCCGATAAGCGTTTTTCCTCGTGCCGGCCATCCCCCGCGACCAGGAAAATGGGAAATTCGTCACCGTCGTCGCCCAAGCAGTGAGGGAGTCCGCCGACGAGGCCAGATGGAGGAGGAGAGCACCGATCCGGGAAAATCGTCAGGGTTTTATTCCCGCGAGGCATGAAGGTATGTTTCCTTAATTTTTTTATACAGGGTATTTTGGAAAAAGGTGCCACAAATTTAAGCGCCGATTGAGCACCAAAAAAAAAAGGAAGATGATGATCCAAAAGTTTTGGGTCTGTTATTTTTTAGATCAACCGGAAATGACCAGAAATGAATTGGCAAAATTTTGAGGCCTCTTTTGATAAATGTAAGTCGACTTAGATCAAGTTACCTTAGTACAACAAAAGTTATCTCAGTATTAGTTACAATGAAATAAAAAAATTGTTTGACTGCCGATAATATTTTAAAGAAGCAAGTAACTTTATCTAAATATAAATAAATATCCAAGGAAGCTATCCTGGAAGTGCGTTTTCAGCAATTTTTATGTAAAATGAAATTTTACGTTATTATATGCCGCATACATCACAAAAAACTAGCGCGTAAAAATTTACCTATACTAAATTTTAATATATTACGCAGTCTATCTGACGTCCTTCTGACGATCGGTCCTCAAATTTGTGGTATTCTTTGTGTTCTCCTGATTTTTTAACTTTTTTTATTAACATTGATTTAAAGTAGCTTTTATTTCTTGTAGATATGGCCACCAAATTGGACCCAGGATAGATTTAGAACACCTTTTTAATATAATTATGTAATAACATAAGAATAAATTGTAATATATATTTTTTAAATTCCATATTCTTATTTATTACCGAACACATCTAATCAAGGACACCCAAAGTCAAATAATTTTCTCAGGAAAATAATAAAAATTAACGAGGTCTCTTTAGAAATAGAAAATTGTTTTTTTTTCTTTATTATTACATATTATTTACTACATAAACATAATTCAAGTTGGTTTAATTTGCTCAAAACGATAATAAACAGGGTGTATGTAACAGAATAATAAGTTCAGAGACTTCATTTAGAATATAAATGAACATGTAAAAGCTATGAAAAAAGTATTTTTTCCAATAGCGTATCATAATTTTTTAGAAAAATGTAATGAGCATACCTTATATCTATGCCACCGGTTTGAGCTGTGCCCTTTGCACAATGATTCACGATTTATCCAAATATGTTATATTGTGATTTAATCACCAAAAATAGTTGCAAAAAAAAGTATTTACGAATTTCGAAAAAAAAAAGTATAAAATATTTAAAAATCATCACGTATATGGACAACTATAATGAGTATATCAAAATATATCTATTTTTTTTTGAGTAACTTTAAAAGTAGCTTCAGAAGATTTGATATGACAAGTGCCTATTTATAAGTATTACTGTGGTTTTTATAGCGCTCTTATTACCGTGGTTTATTGTTTATCTCAGTCTTACGAGTGTTCAAAACAGCCTATGCGTATAGTAACATAAAATTCATGCATATAGTTTCAATTTACTGCGAAACAAGATATAATGTATGCGCAACTTCTTCCAAAGTTGCCAATTTACACTTGATGTATAGCAACTTGAACATCTATATGGTCGACGAAACGAACGTTTAATTGGTCAATCATATTGTCAAATCAAATGGATGATTTTCAATATAAAGAATTTCTTCGAAATAATGCTTTGATCCTACACACAACGAATACGGTTCTTGCACGATGGTGTGTTACCTCATTTTCTACGAGAAGTGCATGAACACAGCTATATCCCTTTCGACTTCTTTTTAGATGAACAGAAGTGATGTGGAAATTATTGATGAGTTACTTGAACTGCTACCAATAATTTACCACTGTCACACCAGCTTGTACATTTGTCTGCCTTTGTCAAAACTGGATGATGTGTTCCTAAATATGTTTTTCTCATACTTTCTCCAAAATTTCCTTTTCTACACCAGACGTGTAAACAGATTTAGGTCTTCCAGAGTCGATATTATTCCACTGTCCTGGAACCGTCGATGAAGTTTGGTGATGGCCGAGTAGAACGAACTGGACGATTAGGAAGTTTCAGCATATGACGAGCATCAACTCTATTGCCATTAGCACGTCCATATACTCCAGTCGGGTTAGATAAAAAAAGGGCTTAACCGGGAAAAAATTAGGGACCACAATTTTATTGTTCTAACCTTTAGGGGGGTCAATAGTAGTGTAAAGTCAGAATCGCGACTGAATTCCACCCCTGCGTCAGCCGCCATCTTGAATTTAAGGAAAAATTGATTTTGCTCAATATCTCGGCCATTTTCGACTTTACAACAAAAATGGTAAGGACTTAAGTTGTTGCAAATGCGATTTCCTACAACTTCTTTTATTACAAATTTTATCGTGCGATCGATATTTTTCAAGTTAAGGGGGAAAATAGTGACAAAGTATAATTATTGAATTATCTCTTTTGTTATTGACTATACGACATAAATGTACATAAACAAAGTTGGAAATAATTATATTTTCTACAATTTTGATCACATTAATTTTTTCGCTATAACCAATATTTAAGGTTCTACGCTTGCGATAAAGACGCGAGCGCAGGACCTTGCGGGAGTTGGTTTCAAAGGAATTGCTTTTGCTCAATATCTCGGCCATTTTCAACTTTACAACAAAAATGGTAAGGACTTAAGTTTTTGGAAATGCGATTTGCTACAACTCCTTTCGTTACAAATTTTATCGTGCGATCGATATTTTTCAAGTTAAGGGGGAAAATAATGACAAAGTATAATTATTGAATTATCTCGTTTGTTATTGACTATACGACATAAATGTACATAAACAAAGTTGAAAAGAATTATATTTTCTACAATTCTGATCACTATGATTTTTTCGCTACTACCAATATTTAAGGTCCTACACCTATGGCAAGCCTAACTAAACTCAAGGGATCAACATTCCATAGGCCTGACGTCTCCGCAAGCGTAGGACCTTAAATGTTGGTAGTAGCGAAAAAATTAGAGGGATCCAAATTGTAGAAAATATAATTCTTTCCAACTTTGTTTATGTACATTTATGTCGTAAAGTCAATAACAAACGAAATAATTCAATAATTATACTTTGTCATTATTTTCCCCTTTAACTTGAAAAATATCGATCACACGATAAAATTTGTAAGGAAAGAAGTTGTAGAAAATCGCATTTGAAACAACTTCAGTCCTTACCATTTTTGTTGTAAAGTTGAAAATGGCCGAGATATTGAGCAAACACGATTTTTCCTTAAATTCAAGATGGCGGCTGACGCAGGGGTGGAATTCAGTCGCGATTCTGAATTTACACTATTATTGACTCCCTCTAAAGGTTAGAACAATAAAATTGTGGTCCCTAATTTTTTCCCGGTTAAATGACAACCCGACTGGGCTAATACATAAAATGCATATCTGCCATTTCTGCATTGACATACAATAGCGTTATTTATGTATTATTACCTAAATAACTTTATAATACAAGCAAATACATACAACGAAAACAACACACGATAAACAATTAAATTAAATCCATTATTAATACAAACAAGACCCTAATGCCTTTTCAGAAAATGGTTACAATATTCTCGTCGTGCAAAATCTGCAAGTTCTATGCACGCAATTTACTGTTTAACACAGTGAGTAATTATCATGTCACAATAATCTTGAGAAGTAAAAGTTGTCATTGTTACACTTTTGCATCATAGTCTTATCTAAAACTCTGCTGGTTGGGTCATGACACTGCGAATTAATGACCTCGGATTATCTTGAAATTTTGTATGTGGTATTAATTTTCCTAACCTATTGTCGTGATATGTGAAGGGAGTAAACTGTCAAATTTGCCTTTATTGACGGCTGTAAGGTCCGATGTCAAAACGGAGACATATGAGATGCCTGGGAACCCTTTTCCGAACGAGCCGGCGTCCAACGTCTTGGCACCGAGGATGAGAACGGACCTAGGACGATACGACCCTTCCGAACCCATTATGAGGGTCTACTACAATGATGCTGAGGGGAGCTGAAATAGGTCAACACCACCAAGAACTAACTAACCAAAGGAGTAAAATACACTTCATGGCGCTCAACGTGGGGCCATGACAGAAGAGGGACAACCACTTCAATCCGCAACATGGCACTCAACTATTAAAAACACTGTAAATCTATAAATCTATAAATTATTGACGGATTGAAAAAATAAATCGTACACTTTTAATTGGTCTATTTAGGGTAAGCCGTTGGGTTTCTAATACCGGCTAAAAATCCTTAGGAGTTACACCAGACCGCCCGCTGTTTGTGCAGGGTCGAAAAAGACAAATTTTGACTTATTACCCTGCCAAGCCCCAGCCCGTATCCGGCGGCCTTAATCAATCAAATTACGATTTTCAATTTGTCTATCATGTGTTGCGATTCGGGCTAGGATACCATAAACAAATCGATTCCGTACGAAGTTGATGTTCCGTAACGGACAATAAAATAATGGAGGATCATGATATGGCGCGTATTGGGAGCGACGCGAACGAGATTTCCAATACGGAATGATTTGTCTTTATAAGGTCGGCGAAGCGGTGATGACTCGGAATGTACGCCATGCCCCCAAAAGGAGGAAACGAATCTAGTATAAATATTTATCAGTTGTGCGCCTAGTGTGAGATACTTTATGGACGCACTGTATATAGGGTGATAAAAAAGTGTAAAATAATTTAAAAGCGGATAGTTCCCAAAGAAAAAATAAGTAATCAGAAATAAAGTTCATATGAAATAATTAGGTAGGTCCGGAAACTGCTGGTATTTTAGCGCCATCTAGCGAGCAAAAGTAACAATAACGATTAGTACAGTTTTCTGAAGACTGAGAAAACTCTTCTTGAAGATACACTCCTTATAATACAAAATTCGATCGCAACACTCGTCTTATGACCCATTGTGCATGCCGCTAACAAGAGTTTTTTTAACAGGCCCGTGCAACTTGCGAAGGAAATCACTCGCTCTGTTAGTGTCTCTGCCATTATTAGGTGACAGAAATGAATGTTGCCTCCAGATATTTGTGTCTTTTTACCGTTAAACAAACGTAGCGACAGACGATATTTGTAGAATCGTCTTCGTACCTGTATAACTTTCATCTCATGCTGGCACTCAGAACAATTCCGTTGAGGTGCTTGTTTAGATGTCCATGACCCGCTACAAGTCCTGTACCAGTCCTAATACTGCTTCAACTGTGCAAACCAATTTTATGATTTGCTTCAGCCCAAGGCCAGCTATGAGTAGCTTGCCTGCCGCAAACCAGATTCGTCTGACCATTGTTTGATCCCATTATCAATGAATCCTATTATATTACATAACATTACAGTAGTCCAAATCAATAATATTTTCCCGATCAAGAAAAGACAAGACATTCCAGGACTGCGTTGTAAACGAATGCAAAGCTGCCTAACTATCTGCGGATATTTGAATTGCTAATTCCTATACTTTCTTTCGAAATATCTTGTGCGTAAATAAAGCTAGCGAATACCTCTGTTCGGAAGACCGTGACATACTTCACCAGAGGATGAAACAAGTTCATCTCTGGTTGTATGCCAGAGGTACCTGCCTCTGAGCACTCGTCAGTTTTGGATTCGTTAGTGAACCAAATGAGCCCATTGGAGACTGCACCATCAAGGTTAGCAAGCTAAGCTTGCCTTTCCCCTGAAATTACTTGTATCTATGACAAATGTAGGTATGGTATATTACGTGGCTAACGACCCTT